GCCACTAAAATCTTGTAAGGCATCTGACAAGTCACTTAGAAAAAAATAAACCGTTTCTAGATTTTCTGCTCTACCTCCTCTAACTTTTTTCGCCTCTCAGAAATCGCCCTGACTTTTCTTAATTTTGTCCCCCTTTCGAATCCTTAGTCCTTGAACTTCTCTTCATTTCCTACTTCCATGCCGTGAATTCTTCTTCCTCTGTTTAAAAAACCTTCTGCCTGACTATACATTGACAATTAAACTATTGTTTTCTCTGTCGCCATTGTGAGCAATAAAAGTTCGTACCGCTTCAGTTCCGCCCAAAAGATCACGAAGCGTTGGAGGGCAAAAAAGTAAGCGCCGTCGTTCACGTAACCGGCGATATGACTCCACAAGTAACTCAACAATGTTCCTCGAGGAGTCGTAATCTGATCTCGGCAATGCGCTCCGAACCTCTGGTTTCTGGACAACTGCTTAAAAATTACTGTACTTAAAAAGTCGAAAGTCTCCTCTGAAGAAATGATAACAAATCTAGATTAAAAAAACAGAATCATTCATTGCGTAAAAAACTCCAAAATCAAACTAATTCCCTCTCCACAGAAAAACGCTTGAAAACTCACCAACTCGAAGGGATTCTCCAGAACTCGATGGGCCTTCATTTGCTAAAAATGGTTTGTCAGTTGAAGTAAGGAAACGGCTCAAAAATACTATGCTCAAAGACTCAATTCTCTACCAGAAATTAAGAACTCTACCCTTAAAAAGCCATTCTTACACAACCTGTTCGTACCTGAGTCGGGAAACTGTCTATTATCTTGGTTTGAACTAATACAGGAACTCGGTCGTTCAGTTGCGTAAACCTTCTGGGTTTCAACGGGTTGAATCAACTGTGGAAAAAGTGTTTCTTGAGTACACGGTTTTGGGCTACCGTTAGTCACCGCCTCCCTTGGAATATTTGAAGGACATATTGTTTCGGTAATCTGACCAGTAAAAACAAAATAACACAATTTCCGAACGGAATTTACGAGCTTATCTGCAGAGTCTAAAGTAAATCATACTGCTTTACAAAATAATAAGATATTGCAAAATGATTCGACTTCGTTGAACTGATGTGAAATCCGCCAACCTCTGTTCTACTGGCACTTCCCGGGCGACAAATATTTGTATTCCCGACACTACTAGGAAGATCCGTATACATCGAACTTATCAAAGGCGTTCGAGAGAATGCAATTAGTGACTCAGCAATAATATTCCTAAAGCGATCCATAAAAAAAGTACACAGAGGCCAAAACAAATGATCTTGA